GTAGCTATTAAGTGTCTAACAAACCGAGCAATAAATCTGCTAAGTAGTACAACAAAGAAAACTAAATGATGAAATGAAACAGATAGAAGAACAGCTTATTGATATGAAGTAACTATCCCATAAAATTCATTAAGAAGATCGAAAAAGGTCAAAAGCAAAATAAAAATAATGGTGAAACTAAAAATGGCAATATAATTAAGAAAGAATATAAGCCATCTACAGCTTTACCATATAAAGAGGGAAGGGGACATCTGAGGCCCAAAGTAGGATTCTTAATAAAGCAGGAATTAGAGTGTCATTTAAAGCTAAAAAATCACTCAAATAGGACAAGCTCTGTAGCTTAAAGGACCCAGCTATACAAAATAATATAATTTACTGAATACCGTGCAATGACTGTGAGTTAAGTCAACTACATAGCTCAAACTAGTAGATCAGGAGTAGTGAGATTGTCAGAATATAAGAATTTAGAGAAGGTTAGAATGGTTGACCCTGAGAAGACAGATAAGTAATTTAGAAAAAAGCTCAGCAATCGCACTGCATGCATTAACACACAACCACACAATAGGATGGGACAGAGTCAAAATTTTAAAAAGTAATACAAGTAGGTGGAGAAAGAGAGAGATTGATTACTGAATCCTGGCTCATCGAGTCTACAACCAACACATGCAACAGAAATGACTCAACGTAAATACCCAGAGATATGGGGAAGATATTATTACTAGTCAAATCAGAGGAGGATAATAAATAATGTTAAAATGTATTTTTCAATTCACATTCTAACAAGTTATTTATTTATTTTACTATAAAAAACATCTTATTTCCCATCTTATTGTATTTTAGTGATAAAACTAATATTATTTCCGAATGTAAGTTATCTTATACTGATTTTTACTCTTGTATATAGACGAAGCGAGAAAGTAATGTGAGTATCGCCTTGATATGATTATGAGCAGTAATACATTGTGCTCGAAAGTTCATCACCAGTAAATATTACTACATAACAACAGTGTGTGATTTTATCAAAATAAAATTTTATCCATAGTGAGTAGATCTTTTGTTGAAGACGCAATAATAACAGCTGCTGCTGCTCCTCCAGCCATATCTGTCAGTATTTTTTTCCCTTCACGTTCCCAGTGGAACATAGGGCTCCAAGCTAGTGGCTTGAAGTTTCTGTAGCAGTGGTGATTATTTTTACATGATGGAGTTGCTAGCCTCATGCCCAACCTTTCCTCTTTATCAGTCTCATTACTGGTTTAGCGAGGTAAAGGAGTGCGTACAGTGGCCGGGGATCGAACCCCGGACCATGTGCATGGTCGGCGAGCGTGTTAACCGCTGTGCCACCGACGCACCTATTTGTCGGTAAACGTGTATTTAAACTGACAATGTCAAAACGAACCATTTTTCTTCATTATCTAATTTTAAATTATCTAATCTGTTTTTTTAGTTCATAGGAATTTGCTAGCCTAGATTTTGAGTGGCTTTTAAGATGATTTAATACCATAGATGAATTTCTAAAATCAGCTATAGGCCTAATAGGATATCCTGAATTATGAACTTTAACAACACCATACATCCCCTACTGGGGTATTAAATTAAACCATTTAGAGCCACATAGAAACGGCTAAATTTGGCGATATTTGTACTCCTGATCATCCCATCCTTAGTCACTAAAAACAGGATTCATGAAATGTTAAAGTAATAGGGCACAAAAACTAAGTAGTATCAAGAAACAAACAAAAGAGAACGAACAAAAACAGGTCGCGTGTGACCGACCACAAGCAGTTGTCCCTGGGCTCTGCGGTCACGCAACCAACTTCCACGGTGTGGGCAGCCGGGAAGTAACAATCGCCCTCACAATCCGAAATGTGGCGAATGAACTGCCGCACATTTGTGCAAAGTTCTATGTCGAAAACAGACAGACAGACAGTATCAAGAAAAATCCAATATAGAAAGTGAGGCACATAACAGATGCCTTGAAAATGAATAACCGCCCTGATAAATTACTCAAGAATTAATTAGTAAAAAGTAAAAAATAAATTTCATTCATTTATTCCCCTTGATGAATTTGAATAAAGCAAAAACAACAGTGCAGTGGTTTGTGCAGAATAATATGCTACCATCATTGCTTATTTCGTTGGCTTCTCCTCACCTGCTGCTTACAGCCTAAACAAATTATGAGGTTTAAGTACAAAAAAGTTTTAACATACTTGCAAATCTTACATGCTGTCAGTTGACAGAAAGTTCCACAATTAGTGAACAGTGCTCAGAAAATTGCGTTTATACAGTTTCTACACAGGCAGTTCAAGCTTAACATCACCCTTTTATAATTTTCCTTGTCTCTTGTTTCTATGATTTGAGTTGAACTCAGTACATTGTTATTATTTATTAGTCAGTCATCATCTTACTCACCTCTCGTCTTAATTACGTAACTCCTTTACCATTATATGCATACATTTATTTTGTTTAAACTTGAAGTGCCTGTGTAAAAAGCATATAAGCGCAATTTTCTGAGCACTGTTCACTAATTGTGGAACTTTCTGTCAACTAACAACATGTATAATTTGCAAGTATGTTAAAACTCTTCTGTACTTGAACCTCATAATTTGTTTAGGCTGTAAGCAGCAGCTGATGAGAAGCCAACGAAATAAACACAGGATGGTAGCATATTATTCTGCACAAACCACTGCACTGTTGTTCTTGCTTGATTAAAAAATAAATAAATAATAATGGTGATAATAATAATTACGACAAGCAAGTGAAACATGCACAGGATAGTGATAACACCAAAAATAGGGAATCTAAATCGTCAGTAGTACTTCCATACAAAGAAGGAACTTCGGAAACCTTAAGCAGAATTCTTGACAAGGCAGGAATGAAAGTGACTGGCATTCAAACCCCCCACCAACTCAATTAGAAAGAAGCTTTCTCGGTTAAAGGATCCTGTGTAGCAGCGCATTAAACAAAACAATTTAGCTTATCTAATACCCTGCTGGAATGATTGTCAGGTCAAATGCATAGGTGGAAGTAGTAGAACGGCGTCAGTCAGTTAGACTAGCCGAGAAGCACACAAAACCTAGCAAAATCTAGATTACTTGACCCTAATAAGATAAGATATCTGGAGAAGAGTTCAGCTATACCATACCACTCACTGCATGCAATTACACACAACCATAAAATAGGATGATAGGATAAGATGACAGAGTTCGATACCGGAAGCTGTATTTATCGAATCAACTGTAAACATATGTAATAGGAATGATTCAACGCCTGTCTATCCGGACATCTAGAAAATTCTACTAGCCTTACGACGACGAATAGGAAAGAGTAAAGAAAGAAAACTATAAAACTCAAGTTTCCAAGTTGTGTAATTATAATTGATGAAATGATTATGAACAGTAATATAAATTGTTTCCAAAACTCTAGCATCCAGTAAATAATACTACTATTTCTTGACTGTGTGTGTGTGTGTGCGATATGTCTAATAAACAAATTAATATAGAAGCCTAATTTCTCTCCATGCCGTAACACACCCCAAATTCTTCAATGTCTAGTCTCATACACACAGCGCATTTTTGTTTGTTTTTTTCTCTCTGTGTACAACCAAGTATGATTTTATTGCGCCATATTTGAAAACATGACTTAAAAATCCCTTCCCCCCCCAACCCGCTAACACCATAAAAGACAATTAAAACAAAGTACATATCAAAAGAAAGATTTTAAAAGAATTTTATAGCTGAAGAAAATATTAATATGCAGTGTTGTTATTATTTTTAAAAAAATATAAATAATATGACAATAAAATTACAAATAATTTGCCCTTTCTTCTCCTTAATCCTATTGATTTTTCTTGTATTCCTTCTCTGACTCTGAAGTGTTAACAGACAGGCAATTAAAAACTGTCTTTTATTGTTTGAATTTGAAATTTTTTTGTTAAAAAATAAACCCCGCCATGTATAAAATATGATCAATGTAAAATTAATGGTGGTGGGGCATTGGCATTTGTCTTATTTCGATTCATTGTCGTATAACATATATGTAGGTGAAGCGCCATTCTTCGTATTCCTAGATGGAGGGGGGTTATTGCTGGCCTCATATAGTTAATGTTCTCCTTTCTTCTAGGCTTTCTATATCAGCCTAGTAAAGTAGGTGTGAGATGTTTAAGAGAGTGTATCTGTCCGTAGAACTTCTCACATGTGTAGCTGCCACTGACCATTCTACTTATTGGAACTACGCCGTACATTTAATGATGATTTTGTGTTTATGTGATTAATAATAGATTATGTAGCCTACAAAGTGAAAGAATTTGTTTACAGGAAACGTGAAAATCTAATTTACTGGAACCTAGAAAATGAGCAGGAGGACGACGGCGACCAAGAGGAGGAGGAGTTTGGCGCTGTTTCATAATTGAAAGAAATTATATACTTAGAGGATAATATTACAATTATGAATGAAGAAATATTAAGTCTTCATTAACAAGGGGGGGGGAGAGAGGAATTGGTGAAACAATGATATACAAATAGTTATGAAAATTAAAACAAGCCTCTGTTGTGGGCGGTTCAGTTGTTAGTTACATAATACACTATTGTATCAAATTTTTTGACTATGCCTACAGCCAGCCATACTTATTATTATTATCACCACCACTATTATATGATGACTGATGAAACTACTGAAATTACTACCCAGTAGTAGTTACTCGATCCCTCAGATTGAAGTGTACGAAGGGCTGGGGTCCACAAAGCGGACCCATCCGGCGGGGGTGCGATGGTTCCCATTGCCCGGAGGATATCTGTCTCCATATAGTCACAATTATGTTGATGATGTCCCTACTGGTGCTGTTATGTTTGACTTTTATCACAAGTTAACATTTGTCCAACAGATCGCGCACGCGTATGCGAATGTTTTTGTTGTTGCAGACGATTGAATGACTTCTCCATAGCTGTTGCTGCTGTTGTTGACGTGGTAGCTGGTTTTAATCTTGGCGGTGGACGTACATGAAAGGCATAAATTGATGATGATGATCCGGTAATATTTAAATTTTGTAAATCTGTTAAATTATTCTGATTATTGTTCTTTAATTTTAATTGTTGTCTTTTTAATAAAATCAGTTTATTTGTATCTACAGTAAACCAATGATCACTGATATTATTATTGCTATAGCTGTCATTGTCAATATCATCATTTTCAGGATTAGTTAATGGTACACCCATTATCCATACAGGACGTTCAGCATTCCATAAAGCTGGTGGAATAGCTGGTAATGAAAATATCGATGCATTTGTAATTATCGTTTGTCTACGATGTTTTTCATAATTATTACTATTGTTAGTATTATTATTATTATTACTATTGACAGTATAACTGTCCAACAGCATATCATTGAAATTTGAATCTTGTGTTAATGAGATTTCCGAGAATTCTTGAGCTGATTCTTTACTAATACTCTTTATTGTTGTTCTCTTCTTCATTCTTGTCTGTAAAGAAAAAGACAGAGAGAGAGAGAAAGAGACAAAAATTATGTAAGTGAAACGTGTGAATTTTTCAAGTGTTTAGTTGCCAAGGTTCAATGACAAGCTGACATTAGTCAACTGTTAGATCGAAAATCTCACAAGGTTTTGATTGATTTACAAGATTGTCTGGTAACCAAAAGGATCCTGGATACAAATCCTAGTGGGTGTGTACTGATGAGAAGTCCTAAATTCGAATGAAACAGCTAGCTAGCTGTCTAGTACTTCATGGTTTCTTGTTAGCTGATTCTCCGATCGATGTTAGTTCATGATGAATGTGTACGCGTTTATCATAGACATTGTGGTGAGAGCTGGATGTTAGTCAAAATTGATGGACAGTAATTTACGTCAATGTTTATATCCCTAATATTTGTCGTGAGAAAAATGAGAACAAAGATTTTGCGTAGGCAGATGCAGTTAGCATATAGACTATCTGACATTCAAGAAACAGCCACAAAAAGATGCAAGGTTAACTTTCTGTGAGACACAACCAATCAGAAGACTGTTTTTCTTCTAATAATCTATAATATGTACATGGAAATCTATAAATATATGTTGATTTCCTTAATAAAGGATCTGTTGCCTGGCCCTTGTCTTCTGCTGTTACAATATTATATTCTATAAATAGGGATTCGCAGAAGATATATGTCTGATATCATGCAAACTTGAGGAATTGCAGGTGAAAACCAACAAATTGGCTGGAGAGGCGGACGGTGAAGACAAGACTTCAGATGAACATAGAGAAGATGGAAGTGATGAAGATAACCAGCACTAATCGCCATTAATGGGAGAGATTTGAAAGAGGTTACCTTCCTGGCTTCACTTATCTAAGCAGTATCGATTCAATTACAGGCGCTAACAGATGACGATGTCAAAACCAAGCAAGAATCACAAAGACAAGATATGCCTACATCAATCTAAAACCAGTTTGGTAATCGTCTGCATTCCACTTCAGCATAAAGAACAAGATTAGGATGTTTAACAGAAATGTTAAGTTAGTCAGTGCTTCTTTATGGGTCAGAAACTTGAACTATGCATCATGGAAAGCATTTCTAACATACCATTGCAGACATTTATCAACAGTTGTCTTCACCTGCTTCATATTGAAGATCAAACAGGTGGCCAGAAAGAATTACCAACACCAGGTGACAGCTAATTGAACAAGAAATATGCAGGAGAAAATGGAGATGGATTGGGCACACGACACTGAGGAGACCATAGAGTGAAGTCGCACGCAATACAGGCCATCGCTGAAGTGGAACCTCAACAGGAAGCGATTAGTGGGTCGTCGGTTTGAGGGTGACATGGAGAAGATCGTGTGAGCTAGAGGAGGAGATAACAGATTATGGTCAATCGTGGACCCAGCTGAAGAGGACAGCAGAGAGTAGAACAAAGTGGAGGAGTGTTGTTGAAACCCTACGTCGCACTCGAAACTCAAAGGAATAATAACAATAATAAATAGAGATAAACAAGGAGTTTAAGAGGTTTTTGATACTATTGGTTTGAAGTATGCACAGAGGTGTTGACTGCCTGGTTACAGGGAGGGGGTTGACACACCATGCTAAGAACCAATAACTGGAAACTATTGGTAACATGACTGAGAACTGCTTTCAGTGGAGCAGATGAATTCACTTTTTGTAATTTCCCATACCCTTAAAGTCCTTATTGTTTCTCCCGGTCATTGTAGTTCTTTTGAACTGAACTACTAAACTTCTGTGCAAAATTCTTTGCTGAAATTTAGTGAGTCAGCCAGTAAGATAAGAAGACACAGTTCAGGGGAGATACATAGCCTGTCTCAGTGGTAAATTGTTCACCAGATCTAGGCATGCAGGAGTTCGGGGTATGTTCTTACCTGACGCCTAGTCAATTCAGAGGAGCAACTTTTTTAGACGACTTCATATACCTAGGTGTACAATCACAATCTTGTTTTCCATTCCAATGTATCCCCAGTGGGACAGGGAGGCCCTCAAGGATTGCTATCCTCACTCACTCTCAACCTTCCCTCTTTTTTGGGCCCACTGCTAGTAAGGCAAGCTTTAGGAGTATACGCTGTCTAGGAATCGAACCATGGACCACGTACATCGTGGTTGACGAGTACTCTATCAAATCCCTGTAAAAACTAATTATTGACAATATGAATACGATTGTTGGAGACAGCCTTTCAGGATAACCTTGTCATCAATCAAGGGAAAATTTTCTCTTTTTTCCAATACTGAATGAGTCTAGTCCTCGCTGTTGATGGAGAGTGAATTCCATCAGATAAGTTCGTAAGCATACTTGGTGCACTATGAATTGTTGTTATATATTTTGAGGTGGTCAGACACGAATCATTGAACCAAACGAAGGACTAGACATAGGACATTAGTTAACTACTTAGTATCGATTGAAGTCTCATTTTCTTTTTATTCCTTCACGTTCCCAGTGGAACATTGGGTGTCAAGCTAGAGGCTTGAAGTTTCGGTAACAGTGTTTATTTTTACAGGATGGAGTTGCTAGCCTCATACCCAACCTTTCTTCCTTACTAGCTTTATTTCTGGCTTAGCGAGGTAAAGGAGTGCGTCAGTGACCGGGGATCAAACCTCGGACCATGTGCATGGTCAGCGAGCGTCCTAACCGCTGTACCACCGATGCACCATTAAAGTCTCATACAGAAGGTTAATCGCATGCTCAGATATAGCTTAGTGGTAACATTTCTGACTGTAGCATTTGGTGACAAGGGGTTCGAATTTCATAAGCGATATAAATTGCTTCAAGAGTGCATATATACGCTTCCTACAGACGAGTCCCAACAAAGTTGCCCGCCAATAGCCATGTGTATTTATTTACAAAATATAACAAACAATCGAAATTAATGAAGAAAAAATAATTGAGTTTTACAACAAAAAAAATCAAACAAAAGAAAAACGCCCTCACCTTTTGATGGTGATGATGATGATGTAATCGTTTACTTTTCACAGTTTTTCTTTTCTTCTTCATTATACGACAATTACTCCAGCGTTGTTTCATTTTATCAATTAGTGATCTTACAGGATTGAATATTGAATAACCAGTATTTCTAACACCATCACGATGTTGATGATGAGAAACAGGAGGCGTAGGCGTCGTAGTTGAAGATGTTCTCTTTTCCTCATCGCCATCATCACTATCTTCATTGTGGAAACTTTTGTCCACGCTATTCGATTGAATCATTTTTTCACTTTCAATATACACTGGAAATACATTCCATTTGGAATAGATGCCTTGAAGATATTTCAGACCATTGACACCATTACCATTACTGTTATTATTATTATTTATGCTGATTTTTTCCTTATCCCCGTCAATATTATTATTATTATTACTGTTATGATTTGAGTTATCTTCATCACCGGTGAATAGCGTTGTGCACGAGAGAACTGGTTGTGGTTTATGCGACTGCGCATCATCACAATTTTTCATGATAACAAAATATTCGCCTTTCATAGGATCTTTCTCTTCTGAATTCATTGAAGTAGCAGGAGCAGCGGGAGTTGTTGTTGTTGTTGCCATTTTTACTGATTCCATCTTTGAGGTGTTAGTGTTCAACTCTGCGCCTTTCTCATAGTCTATATTATTACTACTATTACTATTGTCATTGTTGGCGTTGTTATGAGTAATAAAAATAGTGTTAGTATTGTTCAGATTAAATAAACTCGCTTGACCAATTGGTGGTGTTGTCCCGAATAGATATCCTGAAATAGAATTATCCATAGTTGATATTTCTGAATCTGTACTAGGCTTATGAAGATGCAGATGATTCCGATGCTGATGACTTCGACTACTGACAATCCCATTGGTGGTATAGAGTAAATGATACTTGTTGTTATTCTTCACGATGTTATTGTTGTTATCACTATGGTTATGGTTGCCAACACCAACCGCACTGCCCCCACCGCCACCTCCAATACTACTACTACTTCTTCGATCAGTAATCATACAACCAATACTTGAAATCGATGGTTTATTATCATCATCATCGATTAACTGATTTGTATTCTCTGATCTTGATAATAATATATGACTATCTAATGAGCGATCTGTAGGTATTAGGACTGATCGATTTATTTTACCCCGTTTAATTCTATCAGATCTAAATGTTTAAGAGTTTTCAAAGAAAAGAAGAAAGAAACAATAAGACATTTAAAAAAAACAACCAAGTTATTTAGAACTTAGCTAAGAGAGGACAAAATTCCTCGTGTATCAGAGACTACCAGTTATATTGGCGTCTGCCTTTTATCTCCCATGTTAGGTGGTAGATAGTCGATTCCGTCGACCAGCAGGTATTATGTTTGGTTGTGAATGGAATGCAGAGAAAATACATCACACTGGTCAAGGTATTCTACTCGAACTCATGCCTCCTGTCCCTATAACTTCTGTTTAATTTCATGGACTTAGCTTTAAGTGACTTCAGTGACTAAGGGATTAACCTGTTACCAGGGAATAATCTCGTTGACTTAAAATATGCAGATGATTTGCTTGCATCATCTCCAACGAGTTCAACGCTGACGAAATCTCAGCACAGATACAGAAGGCTCGTTTGGTATATGCTAAATTAATCCGCCTCTGGCTTAGTAGTCCTGGTATTGGGCTGGCTGTCGACCAAAGGACGTGTGTACTCTACTCAGCAGTAGTTCGCTCTGTCCTCTTTTATGACTGTGAGTGAGACATGGCCATTGAAAGTGGAAGACATCAAAAGGTTGGCTGACTATCTTTAATCATAGGTGTCTGCCTTCTATCTCCCGTTTTAAGTGGTATGATAAGGTGAGGAATATTGATGTTAGGCGTCGGTCGAGTGCTGGGTAAAGAGGGGTAATCAATCCACGAGGTTGTGAAGTTACATCGATTGAGCTGGTTAAGACATGTTTTACACACATGCCTCCCTAGCCAGAGCCTTACTCGACTCATAGGCAATGTTAGCTGACTGACATAGGATGCATCAGGTGGCGGTCGAACGAAAACATGGCTTCATCAGTCAATGAAATCCACAACAGTTAGTTTGAGCCAGCTAGTCAAGTAGGAAGGTGTAGGAGGTGAAAAGTAACTCAATGTGATGGTATCACTTCTATTTATAACTTGAAAACGTTTTAGTTATCTATGTTCAATCATGAATTATAAACTGCTTGACTAACCTACTGACTGAGTTTTAAAAATAGAACTTTGCACAAAAGTGGAGTATTTTTTTATTTTTTTTATTTTATTTTTTTTTATTTTATTTTTTATAAAAATAAATAAATAAATCATAGGCAATGTTAGCTGACTGACATAGGATGCATCAGGTGGCGGTCGAACGAAAACATGGCTTCATCAGTCAATGAAATCCACAACAGTTAGTTTGAGCCAGCTAGTCAAGTAGGAAGGTGTAGGAGGTGAAAAGTAACTCAATGTGATGGTATCACTTCTATTTATAACTTGAAAACGTTTTAGTTATCTATGTTCAATCATGAATTATAAACTGCTTGACTAACCTACTGACTGAGTTTTAAAAATAGAACTTTGCACAAAAGTGGAGTATTCCAACTTGCCACACACTAGGTAGCCCAGAAAGGCAGACAAAAGAATGAAGGGATTCAAAAGTACCATAGCAAGCAAAAATATACGAAAGAAAGAATAGTAACGTGGAAAAAACGTGTTGGGGTTGTGATTAGATTTCAATGTTTCAGTCATTTTGAATGCAAATACATTCCAGTTGACAAGTCCTACTGCATTCCTAGTAGCCTTATTCACTAACAGGAATTCTATATAGTGGGGAAAAAATAAACGGATTTTAGTTGGGATGAGTGAAAAAGAACTTAAACTAGCCTTATTGTTATTGTGACAGATGGTGAACGCTAGCAGTGAAATATCCAGCAGATGTGCGTTTCGTCCTATTTGGGACTCGTCAACTGGATGTACCTGTATGCATCCCCAACGGAGTGGTGTGCTGTTCCCTGCTAGAATTGAATCCAGCACCCATTGTTTTAAGCGTCAAAAGGTTATCCACTGGGATATCCGGACCATAAGAGTCAACTCTTTTGTAACAGGTGTCAACATATCAATAAAGGCGGAACATTTCACTCCGATATAATCGATTAATGGGAGATATAAAACTAACGTAAGATCGAATAATGATAAGAATTGATAGTCATTGCTCAAGAGGTGGCCTTCATGACTTGTTGGATAAGACTTCAGTGTTTGAAATGATTGTTGGCTGGATATGGGTCTCATTGGGAACACGGTTACTCAATCACTGTGGACTGCAGATACACGGAGATGACAAGTCCTATAAATAAGATGAAATGTGCAGCCTGAATTCCACTGCTCTATTCACCATCCATCAAATCCCAAGACAACTTCGAAGCGTCTGCGCACCTGGCAGGAGTCAACATATCAGCACACAGATCAAGCATTCTTCTTACATGACTTGTCCCATTCTGATGAAGTTAATTTCGTTAAATATGCCGATGATCTGACTGTTTCCGTGCCAGTTAATTCTCAAATCGGATTGTTCCAAAATGAATAACTTTTCATCAGAAATTAGTCAGTGGTCCTTGAAAAATAATCTTAAGCTAAATCCCTCCAAATATCAGGTTGTTATAACTTGTGTCACTTTCAAGTTTAAGCGCGACTTACATGAACTGGTTCATTTTCATGAATCTAGTATCATAGATAGCATTAAAGTTTAAACCAATTCGGATGTTCAGTACCTTGGACTGTGTATTTCGTCTAATTTTTCTTGGTCTTCTCACATTATGTTAGTTTCTAGAAAGATATTTCGTTTAGCGTTCTACATAAGGAAGTTAAGCCAGTCTGGTATCACTCAGTCTCTGCTTTTATAGTTTGTTAATTCGTGTATCTTAGCTATTCTTCTATACTATCCCCCTACCTTGATCTCTCCCAAGTTACTTAAGACTACTTTGTTTCACTGCGGAAGGCAATAAAAGCTGTCAGTAGGGTGAGTGGAATGTCGTTAAACCAACTTGGCAACACTGTTATCGATAGACACATGGATTCATGAAAGAAATTAGATAATATTATCTTGTCATATCCTGAGTATCCCCTCTATACACAATTCCCTCCCTGTCTCATCTCATCAGGTGGGACTAGAAGCAGCAATATCAGACTCCATGCTCGAATGACTAAGCATAAATACTCTACAATAGGTTACTTGTCACATATTTTATATGGCGAGAATAGTATAAGGCACTATACTACACTACTAATTCACTGAGAAACACTGAATAAATGGCCCTTTTTATTCTTGCTTTCTCTCTCTCTCTCATTAACAACACTATTTGTTAATATTTCCAATTTAATTTTAATTTTATATTCATATTTTTATCAAACAATATAATCAAAGTGAATGCCTTGTTTTATCAGCCTCATTCAACAGCTGGTTATATGCCAATGCCACATGTCGGGTGATCCTAAACGGAAGTGAAGATGGGAGTAAGACGAGGCTGCTTATTATCACCTACAATGATATTCCTAATTATGATGAACTGGATTGTGCGGCGCACCCTGCAACGGGAGCGAGAAGACAGGAATAAGTTGGAGCAATAAGAAGATTCTAGAAGATCTGGATTTCGTGTGTGGATGATTTATGTCCAATGTCACGCAGTCTCGAAAACTTACGGGTGAAAACCAAAAAATTGGCTAAAGAAGCGAAGGGGAGAAGATACGACTCCAGGTGAATACAGAGGAGACGGTGGTGGTGCTGAAGATAACCAATCAACAACAACAACAACAATAACAACCAGCATCAATCACTATCAACGAGAGGAACTTGAAACTCGACGTCTTTTCCTTCACTTATCTGCCTAGGCAGTATGGTTTCAATAACAGGCGGAACGGATGAAGATGTCAAAGCAAAGCAAGCCGGAATTGGAAAGCCAACACAGACCTTCATAAATCTGAATTCAGTTTGGAAATCTTCTGCACTCCGCAACATAAAGAACAAGATTCGGATTTTCAACACCAAAGTTAAGTCACTCTTATATAAGTGACAAACTTGATACGTCATGAAGAGAATTTCATACACAGGCAAGCTGCAGACTTTTGTCAACAGCTGCACACTTTGTTCGCTTCATACTGAAGATCAAACGGCCAGCAAGCCAGAAAGAATTAACAACAAGAAACTGTGGGGTTGAATCAATGAAAAACCTGTTGCTCAAGAAATATCCGTCGGTGCATCGGTGGCACAGTGGTTAGGACTCTTGCTGACTATGCACATGGTCCGAGGTTCTATCCCCTGCCGACGCACACCTGATATCTATGGTCGGCCTGCAAAATTTGGGCTACCGATATCCATGCTGAAAATTGCATACTTGTACCGAAAATACAGTGTGGAATCAAGTTGTAGTAAAAATAAATAAATAAATAAAGTGGAGATGGATAGGATACACCGATGACGAAACTGTCGAATCATAACGCGCGCAATGTAGGCCATCGCTCAAGTGGAGCCTGAATGAGAAACGATGAGGGTGACATAGAAGAGACAGTTCGAGGAAGAGAGAGAAGAAACTAGGATCAATCGTGGGGCCAGATTAAGCAGACCGCAGAGAATAGGACAAACTGGTGATGTTCTGCTGAAGCTCTATGTTCCACTGGGAACCCAAGGGAAGAATAATAATTATTATAATTAGTAATAACAATACTTATTATAAATACCCTGTTTAAATATTTTCCCCTGTACTACATAAAGAAAAAATTAGATGCAATAGTGTACTACATGCTAAAAATTACACACTGTACCCAAAGTATTGATCGGAATATAAAAAAACCATTATTACTTTTAATTCAGACTAATCAAACAAGGGTCCCAGTGGCTTAATGGTCTAAGAGATAGCTCGCCTTGTAACCAGAAGGTCCTGGGTTCGAACCTCTGTAGCGGGCGCGTAGTGCTGAAGAGTCTCAAACTAGGCTGACGAAACAGCTGTCCAGTACGCTAGTGCAGGTTTTCCAATAGTTCTTTAACCAATGTCAGCTCATGATGAAACCCTGTAACCAATCAATCGAAATCCCTACAAACTAAAACTTGAAAATTCAATTTTAATTTTGTAAAAGGAAGGTGGTAATTAAGCTTACCTTGTTCGACGAACACTCATATATTGAGGTTGATGAGGATACGGATGACGATCATGATGATGATGGTGATGATGATGAGAATGATACGACGTTGCAGGGAAATTCAAATTGATTTCATTAATTTCTTGAATAGATACTCTTGGCAAAAGAGAATATGGAATACTTTTAACTGATGTACATAACTTTTTAGGATAACTTGATGCATTATTCACACAACCACCATTAATAGGAGTCGTCGTAGTGACAGGAGTTGTAGTCGTAGTTGTAGTAGTTACATGTAGAGAGTCTTTGTTGTTAATATTATTGTTACTCTCTGTATCATTAGTACTATGAAAGTAAAATGTCTTCCGGCTTAAAATATTTGGGAATTGATCAACAATGAATATATCTGGATGTGAACCAGTTGATCGATGATGCCGATGGTGAGGATGAGGATATCCTGTCTCGTCATCAGTCACTGATTTATGCCGACCATTTTCAACATTAATAAAATCTAAATTAGAATTTGTTTTGTGTACAACTCCGACAACTTCGAATTTTTCTAATTCTAATGAACCGAGTGATACAAAAGCTTTACGCATTAAATTACCATTGGTGGTGAATACTTCAGGCATAGATAAAGAACTTGGCGCGGAAAGCTATAGAGGTGTTGTAAACAGGGAAAAGACATAAAATATAAAAGTGGTAAACATTATAAATCAATATTAAGATGACAATAGTAAAATAAAACTAAAGAGCTGTTAATTCCTCATCATGGACTCCATACTAATATAGAGTTGTAAAGTACTGGTTTTTGAAGAGTCCCAAACTAGGACGAAACACTTGTACAGTACTCCCAGGTCTTCTAAATGATGTCAGCCCATGATGAAATCCTCCAACCAATCAAACAAAATCCCTACAAAACTAATACTTGAAAATTGATCTGATGCTCACTAACGACTGGCCATATTCAGGCAGTTAACCTGGGGTTCTAGTGGGAAGCCGTGACCAGTAGGGTACTGCGGATTGAAAGTGAAGACAGGCAGAAGTTAGAATTCATGGTCTGGTCATTGGATTGGGTCCCGGTGGCTTAATCGTCTACGGGCTTGCTGGCCTTGTAACCAGAAGATCCTGGCTTCGAATCATGGGGATGGGTGGGCACTACTGAAGAGTTCCGAACCAGGACAAAACGACTATCTAGTCCTCTCAGGTTTTCCAATCACTCTCTAACTGATATCAGCTCATGATGAAATTCCCCCACCAATCACACCAAAATCCCTACAAAACCAATAATTGAAAAGGATAATGTCTTGTCGATTATTTCGAATCTAAAATACCTGTCATAACTTGTATCACTTTCAATAGTTGTGAAGTAATATACACCTACCTATCAGTTTTATATATGTCCAAATCAAGTTTACTTTTAACAGTTTGAAAAAAATTTAGGCATTGGATATGTATATGATATTCATTAAAGTTTTTGTATTTCCCAATGAACGGGGAAAAATGGTCGAAAATGTATTCAGAAAATATGAACCTTAACAGTTGTTATTCCATACAGATCAAAAATGTCAGACGATATCAGTGGTATGATAAATAAATAGAATATGAGAGTTTTCTTTAAAACATCAGACACACTACAGAGTGACCTTATCGGTGTAAAAGACCAAATTCCGAAGGATTCACAATCTAATTATGTCTATAAAATAAAATGCTTGGAATGTGATGCGATATACATCAGACAAACTTCTCGAGAAATCAAGGTCGGAAGAAATGAACACCGTAAAACATTTGTTCGATCACTGAGAAATTCAGATGAAATAGAAAAGCTTCAAAAATAATCAACCATAGAATCAAGTCACAAAATTGATTCCGACAATATTGAAATAATCCAGAAAAAGTATTTCAGAAATCACAAAGAACTTCTAATATCAGAAGCAATTCATATCAAGTGAAATCCAAATTGTCTGAATAGGAATGATTGACTTCGACGCAATTTAATATGACTCCAACACCCCTCCCGTCCCCATTGAAGTGACACAATCGACACGAAAGTGATAGGCAATTTTGTTATGTAAACACATGCTGCTTTTCATAACTCCATACGCTTATCAAGTTCAGCAATCTACAGATGGTTTGGTTATCTGTACCAACTGGCCAACTTGACAACATAGAAATGACTCCATGGTGAGGAACGATGATTAAGTTGTTGCATATAATAAGCTGAGATTTTTCAAAATTCTGGTTTAATAATACTGGTTTGATAAAGCTATTGGCAGCAGCATTAAATAGCGAAACGTCAGTAAAAAAACAACAATATCGTAATTGTTTTTCAATCATTGGCGAATACAAAAAACTTTTATAATAAGGAATACCTATCAGGTAGTACTTCTATGTAGTTTAGAGACTTGGAGTGTCACCAAAAGCATTTCCGACAGTTGGCTACAGACATTCATCAACAATTGTCTTCGCTCCATACTGAATATAAGATGGACAGAAAGAATAGATAAGCAATAAAGGACACTAGCGACGAACCAATCAAGAACTAGATTGCCTAACAAACATGCAGAAAGAAATGTACATAGATAGATGCATTGAACTTATGCTGAGAAGAATTCAAGCAACTCATGGATTGGAACCCGAATGAGGAACAACAAGCTGGGCGGCCAAGAGTGATATGAAAAAGATCAGATGAAGAGGAATTGAAATCTTGTGAGTACTCGTAGAATCGTCAGTTAATAAGCAGAATGGCAGGAGACACGATACTCGGGATCCAAGGAACGAATTATATATATATATATATATATATATATATATATATATATATATCAAATCGCCAATCTACGAATCATCATTGAACAAAGCTTGGAATGGAAGTCACCTCTCTATCTCGACGTCATCGACTTTCAAAAGGCCATCGACAGCGTCGATCAAGAGGTGATTTGGCAACTACTTCGCTACTACGGGGTCCCATCAACAATTATACATCTTATCCAACAGTTGTACGACAATGCTGCATGCCAAGTAATCCACAACGGGAAACTTACAGAAGCCTTCGAAGTAAGGACGGGAGTGAAACAAGGCTGCCTACTATCACCAATGATCTTCCTGATTGCAGTAGATTGGATAATGCGACAGACAACGGGAAATGAGGAAACAGGCATAAAATGGTCCCACATGAAAAACTTGGAGGATCTGGACTTCACCGATGATATATGTCTGATTTCCCACAAACTGGAAGATATGCAAGTGAAAAGCAACAAGTTGGCAGAAGAAGCATCAAAGATAGGACTTCAAGTGAAGATAGATGAAACAGTGGTGATGAAGATTCCTGGCCGACACCAACAGCAACAACAATCAGCCAGCATAAATGGGAGGAACCTGAAAGAAACAACCTCATTTACCTACCTGGGAAGCATCGTTTCAACTACAGGCCGGCGGAACTGACGAGGATATCAAAGCAAGGATAGGGAAAGCAAGACAAGCTTTCATTACTCTTAAGTTTGTGTGGAGGTCAACAGCAGTCAACATCAAAAATAAGCTCCAGATTTTCAACTCCAATGTGAAGTCAGTGCTACTCGCTATACGGATCAGAGACTTGGCCAGCGCGTCATAAAGAGCATCTCAAACAAACTTCAGACCTTCATTAACAGTTGTCTTCGCTCAATACTCAAGATCAGATGGCCGGCCAGAAAAGATAAGCAATAGGGATCTCGGGGAGCGAACCAATCAGGAGCCGATTGTGAAACAAATAGGCAGGAAGAAATGGAGATGGATTGGCCATACTCTGAGGAAACAAGCCATCGAGTGACATCACTAGACAAGCCATCGCTCGAGTGGAACCCGAAAGGGAAGCGGCGAGTTGGTCGTCAATGCAAGGGTGACATGGAGGAGGTCATGTGAGGAGGAGATGAAAGTATGTGGGCAGATTTGGAGCCAGGTGAAAACTCTAGCAGAGAACCGAACGCAATGGAGACGCGCGGCTGAAGCCCTATGTTTTTCTAGGAATTAAAGGAAATAATAATAATATAATAATTAGACCTTTTCAGGCATTTTGTTTGATTTTATACACTTCCTTATGAATCTGGATGGGAAACCATTTCCAAACCAAGGTCTCTTGACTCCTCAGTGCATATTTTTCAGATATTTGAAGACAGAGAGTATATTAGGTTTCTCTCCCTGCTTAGAGGCATACAACTTTGAAAGCTGATAAAGTAAGTATTCGTTCCATGTAGACTTTTTGTAAATGTATATTACCCGCGTCGGTGGTCTAGCAGTAGTAGACTGCTTGCTGACCATATCTGACGTGATTCATGATTCGATGCTCAATTAACACACTCCTAAACCTCATTTAACCATTAGTAAGCTCGATAAAGACGGAAGGTTAGGCGTATAGCTAGAAATCTCACTACATAAACAAAGAACGACACCGGTGCTACAAAAACACGCCACAGCTCAAAGCTTTTTATGTCCCATGTTCTACTCAGAAGGCAAAGGAACAAAATTTTCAAAGAAATTAATAGTAAATAAATAATAATAATGCTGGTATTATACTACCTTATAATTCGTAGCAAAACTTTCATTTTCAGAATATAATTCACCATCAGAATAATGAACTCCATTCTTATAGATTGACAATTTTTTGCGTCGTTTCTTATTATTTCGTCTTATTAGACAATATTGTAGACAATATAGATAGACAATATTGCCAGAGACAATAATCACACCGATCGCAGATATGATAGCGCTAATTTTCACACTGAACTGAGATAATTCAATATATTCTGGTATAAATATCCATAATAATATAATAGACGATCCAGTGATTAAACAAAGTATACCAATGATAGTAAAAATAAGGAATATTTTATTCATATAAATTTTGTTATTATATAAAGGTGTGATTTCAGATTGACTGAATGAACACATGTATATAAATGTGTATATATGTATATATATTATAATATTATGAATATAGATTTTAATTTCATTAGATAATAGTTATATCGAATCATATTGATTTGAGAGGATAAAGAGTTGTGCGCTATCCCACTGATGGTAAGTATGAGGTAATTTAAAAAAAGGTTTGTATCAGCTGCGATTTATGTTACGTGTTCAGCATGCTGACGAATCATTTCTATGCTGCTGCTATTGCTGCTGGCTACCGGTTACTGCCAAGGCAGAGGGGATAAGAGTACTGTCATAGAAAAAGAAAACGGAACAAAAACCTCATGAATTTCATATTATTGATGATATTGTTGTTTAAAGCTCAAGCATATAAGGTTTTTCTTTTACACACTTCCCCTAAAAAGACAACTACTTGGTAGCTGGAAAAACAAAACAAAAAGAAAAGACGTGTACATATATATGTATATGAAGAGAAATTGAGCACTGCACTGCAGTGATACTGTCTGCATTAACTGAGGTTCTAGGCAGCGTCTGGGAATCAGAGGAAGTCCCATAGGGTTGGTGTAAGTCACTGATTATCCCCATATACAAGAAGGGAGAAAAGTCTTCCTGTGATAATCACAGAGGGATTAGCTTGACAAATATAGTATCTAAAGTCCTAGGCTCAATAATATTGTGTAGACTAAGTGGTGCTCGGGAGGCACAAATACGAGAGAGCCAGGAAGGCTCTAGAACGTAGCATTCCTACCTGCGTCCAACAATCATTATATTTCTTGACCTAAAGGCGGAATCCGATTCTGTCGATCGAGAGGTTCTCTGGAGATGCTTGGCTGTAAAGGGAATCCCGAGAAAATACATTCCACTGATTAACGCACTCTACTCGAACTCATACAGCCAGGTGAGGGCTTACGGCGAGCTGTCACCTGAAGTGGTGATGACTAGTGGTGTCCGTCAAGGATACCAATTATCCCCATTTCTATTCAATTTCATCATAGATGTACTGATGGACTTAACCCTAACTCACTTCAGCGACTCAGGGACTGACTTGCTACCAGGGAATAATCTCGTTGACTTAGAATATTCAGACGATATAGTCCTTCTACGCGACGACTCTGACAAAATGCCGAGTCTTCTAAACACCTTGAGCTGCAAATTACGAATGTTTGGAATGCGATTCGCTCCCACCAAATGCAAGATGATGTTACGGGACTGGACTACATCAAGTCCTAGATTAGAAATAGGTGGTGAAGTGGTAGAGCACGTTGACCGCTTCACTTATTTGGGAAGTACCATCAGCCAGCCCCAACGGGTTGATCTCTGACGAAATCTCAGAACGGATACAGAGGGCTAGTTTCGCATATGCCAGTTTATGCCGTCTCTGGCGTAGACGTGATATCCGATTATCGACCAAAGGGCGGGTGCACTGCTCATCAGTCCGCTCCGTCCCGCTTTATGGCTGTGACACCTGGCCATTTAGAGTGGAAGACATGAAAACGTTGGTTAGCTGTCTTTGATCATAGGTGCCTGAGTTCTATCTCCCGTGTGAAGTGGTATAATAAGGTGAGCAATATTGAGGTTAGACATCGATCGAGTGCTAGGTAAGCGGGAGGGGAAATCAATCGACGAGGCTGTGAAGCTACATCGATTGAGATGGTTAGGAAATGTGCTACACATGCGTGGCCTAGTCATCGCCTTCCTCGACAATGGACAATGTTAGCTGACATAGGGTCAGGCTGGAAAAGAGATAGCGGCGGTCAAACAAAAATTTGGCACCAGTCAATGAAATCTACAACATTTAATCTAAGCCACGTAGGAAGGTGTATTCTTCCTGATTGGTTGGGGTCCTCGGGACGGTAAAAACCATTGGTTGGAAACAATTGGTGACATGGCTCGAAATCGTTCTCAATGACTGGCGCAGATGCATCCACTCCTTGTGAATTATGATTTCCAATGAGACTGTTTGTTCTTTGTTACTACTATTCCTTTGTATTACACCTCTGTTTACTGTCTCTATTATGCTTTTCTTGTACTTTCTTGTGTTGCTTTGTGTGCTACATGGAGGGAGTGTGGCGACTTGAACTGCCGCACATCGATGCAAAGTTCTATGTCGAGAACAGACAGACAGACAGTGATACAATATTATTTATTTACTAATGACAGCGTTGTTAGCACAATTTATAGCTTCTAATCATATCACAGTGCTCACATAACGTCTTTCAATCTTTGTTTACATATTAGTTCCGTTACTTTTTTTATCCTTTAATTGGTAGTAATATTCTGTATATCTCCTGTATTAGCGTTGTCTCATTCTTACTGCACGTCTTAGGTGCAGATTTGATCAGCACAGATTCAGTAATCCACCTCTCTCATCATCCATCCAAGGTTACTTTTTAGAATTGTATCTCTGTTCCACCCTATCCTATGTTTGTGTGTTAGTCCGTGCACTCCAACTGCTGCGATTCTCTCCAAAACCATCCATCTTATTGTGGTCAGTCATTTTATATGAAGCTGAATTTTTATGTTCCGATAAACTGACTACCCCCATAATACTGGTCTGACCTCTGTAGTTGATACCATAGTCATTACAAGGCACTTCGTAGATTAAATTATTCTGTCAAATAGAGTCAAGAGGGCTCTTTAGCCTCCGAAACTTGTCCCTGGGTAGGTTTGCAGGCTTCGATGCCATCTTAATTCCCGCTCTATCAGGAATCATACACCCTTCCTTACGTGGTATAACTTTAGATGTCTTAATTTTTTTCCTACTTCTGTTATCTTTACCTCATCCGTCATCTGTGAAGACAAGTTTAGTTAAACGTCTGACAAACCGAGCAATTACACCAATTAGTATATCAAAAAAGCCTAAGTGATGAAACAAAACAGATAGGAGAAGCATTAGCACCAAATAACTATCCCATTAGTTTCATTAAAATAACAAAAGCCAACAAGAAATAGAAAAACAATAGTGAAGCTAGTAAAGAAAACATAAATAAGAGAGGATTTAGAGTCTACAGATTTACCAAATAGGGAAGGGGCATCTGGGACTCTACGTAAGATTATTAATACAGCATGTATAAGGATGGAATTTAAGCCTACAAACTCATTCAGGTCGAAACATTAGATCAGGGATAGTCAGATTATTTGAACATAAGAATCTGCTCAGAATGCAGAATAATTGAACACATAAAGATCGATAGTTTAGAAACACCTCTGCATTCGCAATGCACTCATTAACACAATCACCAATAACAGGTGGAACAGAGATACACTTATTAAAAGTAATATAGGTAGGTTGGTGACAGAATCTTTATCGAATCTACACCTAACATGTGCAATAGAAATGATGTAGCATTTATATCAGAGATATGGAAAATATTACTCCTAAAACAAACGAAGTTTGATATGATTATGAGGAATAGTAATGATGCTGTATCACTGTGTTTATATCATATGAAGTTATTATATGATGGAATGTGTGCAACTTTAAAAACACACTAAGATAATTTCATTTTATGGTAAATCTGGGCTTACATTACATTGACAATAAGCCAGCAAAAGGAATGAAAGTATACAAAGAGCACATAAGTCAGCAAAGAGATCTCTTTCAGAAACTTTTTTTAGAGGGATATATGTATTAACTTACAAAAGAGGTCAGAGATTAACAAAATAAGTCAAAGTGTATGTGAAAGTAAGAGACAAAAAAGAACAATTTTAATCACCAATTTTACCGTAGAATACTTATCATTTGCAAAGATTTTGAGCAATATGCATTTATGTAAGTAATAAATGATTTCATGGGGCATGGTTTATCAGAATAAGCATTCAACTTCTAGTTGGTGAGTACCAGCTTCAAATGTCACTCAATCTAATTTAATATGAACAATTAGCTAGTATGATCGATCCTCATACAACAAATATAATTTATAGTGTGGTATACGAAAGAACTGCTCAAAAACATCGAGTTTAAACAAACAAATAGAAGTATTTTTTGTTAATTTTACATCTTACATTAAATATCCCGATTTTGGGTTTCACAGAGATTCGGACTCATCTTAGTGTAGATCTCGCCACAAACTAACACCATTTACAGAACCACTCAGAGCAAATGAGCATTGGACGGTTGTTCTCTCCTGGTTTCGAGCTCTAAAGAGAACCTATGATCTCACAAGGAATCAAATCCCAAACTTACAGGTGACGAAGCCATCCAGTGTAAGGATACAATAATTCGTGAATTTTAACTTCCATCAAATCACGACAAGCATCTTCCACTGGCAAATACCAAAAACGAGTACTATACTAAATACATGACATCAACCACAAAAACTCAAATGAAATCCGAACATATGTAATTTCTTCTACGTTATAATTGAATACATATTTCACCCAGAGATTGTTATTACTTTGAGAAAGATGTTATACTTTGCTTTTATTTCATTCACGACCTCATTATCTAAGGTGTTTTTTATTTTACACTTTTAACGTAAGTTAAAAATAATTATTTTCAATGTTTGAATACTTTGCCAAATAGTTTTCTCATCCAAATACTAAAACAACATAGTCTTGGGAATTCAAATCTAACTGACTGTATTTTAGTAGTGTTTCGAAATGGACTTTTTTCTTATTGTTTCAATTTTAATAACTTAGTACAACAGTAAATTGATATGTGTAATATAAGGTTCGCAATATTGTCTGACGATTTTCATACACACTTTAAAAAAGTAGTAAAATAGTTACAAACAACTAAACACTATGGAATTCTTAGTCCCGTGCATGTTCCTAATTCTCTTCTTTAATCCATCACGAAGCCCTAATCCTCCAGAAAAACCAGTCAAATTTCGCCCATGTATGTACTTGGCTTCTACATTTCAATTTCATCACAGTTTGGAATGGAAACGTATGAATTTCGGATCAACAGGATATTCTATAAATAGGCAAATTTATTGCATAATTATGTTTGAAGTTACAGCCTGACCAAATCTCACGCGTTAAAGTTCCTAAGTACATTCTAAGTCACTAAGCGACAATAAGAAATAACAGTACTAACATAGAACTGCGAAAAACGTAACTTACCAATCAATTGACCTTGAGTGTGAAGGAAATTTTAATCTTGGCGCGGCCGGAACAAAGATACAATTTCTTATACAGAGGGTATGAACACAAAATCGAATGAATTTTGTGTCAGTGGTATTGCAGAAGCATTTGAAATAAGCACAATACAGGCAAGCGTACTCAACTTACACACTTTTATTTCTGAAAATATTTATGCAACCAGCATATCGGATAGTAATTGCCTAAAATAAATAAACTGCAGGGTTCTTAACTCGACAGTGGACGCCCTACCTTCACTGATTAGATCGACTTTTTAAGATTAATGTACACAGTCATGTATGCGTGTCATCTGGCGCTCTATCGTTCCTCGTTCGTTCGTTCGAGCACGAACCCTATCTAGTTGAGCAGGCATAGGCATTCGACTCTGCCGATGCTAAAATATATCGCCTATTTCTGGAACCATCTTTACCTGGCTATGCAATTGCTCCTAATCCTTCATCTCCTGACATAAGATTTTAAGGCCAGAATCTCGTTATTTATGCTAAGAGCAGCAGATTTCCACACTGAATGCGTACTGATGAAGGACTGTCTTGCAATTCCGAACCTGTCTTTGACATTCTCAGTCACGCATGGAGCGATTCTGACAAGATAATCGAAAAAGTGACTTACTTCAAAGTTCTACCATTGTTACTGATTACTGCTTGTGGTTGGCAGTGGTAGTCAGATATCTTTGTCCCCTCTCTCTCCTGTATGTTCACTTCGAAATCTTATCGTCTCTGATTATTCTGCTAACCTGCCTGTTTGTACCTCTAAACCCTCGTGTTACTGTGACACTGGGCATAAATCGTCCAAGAAGTCTTCTTCTTGCGAGTCCAATGTGTTCCTGTCTTTCCTCTCCACATAATCTGTTTCAACATCGATGGTACTAGGTAGTCTTTTCTTACAGTTCTTTTCACTTCAGAGCTTCACTGAGTTTTCCTATATGAATCACTTGACATGTTTCGTCGGTGGCACAGTGGTTAGGACTCTCGCCGACCATGCATATGGTCCGAGGTTCGAGCCCACGCCGACGAACACCTGATATCTATGGTCGGCCTGCGAATTTTGGGCTACCGATATAAACGCTGAAAATCCCATGCTTGTACCAAAAATACAGTGTGGAATCAAGCTGTAATAAAAAAAAATCATGTAGCTGTCGAACGAGGATGATAATGGTTTGGGGCACACAGGAGTGTTTCAGCTGTTTTTATATATATACTTATCCCTATCTATGTAGGACATACCATTTTTATGGGCATCGTTAAGTATTATTTAAATTACATAAATTTAGTTTACGGTGAAATTATATGGTTCCTGTCAATTCTGTGTTTAGTTTGTGGGAACAATCCGCTAATAAGTCATTCGGTGGAGCACATCAAGAAATAGAGAAATATTGTCTACGCATTAACAAAAAAACCGAAGTATTTGTTGGATGGACTAAAATTACATTGGAAAAAATAAATCTTGAAGTCTTTTCCCCAATATAACTTTCCAGCACCGGATATCAACTCAGTAATTACACAAATCTCAGTGCACGTCGTTCACCCAATGCCCTTTCCATGAACTTGGATTAAACTTGTGGTTTCTTATCACTCACTTACTTTTAGATTCCTTGATGCATTTAATTAGAAAATGAGAAAACACACTAATTCAATTTAAGGAAATGAATTACATTTATAAGATCAGTGACGTCGCTGAAACTTTCAGAGTTTTTTCGCCACCCCATTCTCTAGTCAGACCCCTAAGCAATGCAAAACCTACTATTAAGAAAGCGGATCGACGATCTAGGGAGTGCGTAGACTAGATAAAGGAGAATTGAAGCAAGAAGATTGGGTATAGAATAGGTAGGAAAGCGCCGGTACATGCTCACGTAACAGTGACAACTAAAAAGATAGGTGAGCGCCAGCAATTACGGAGGTAAAATAATTAAACTGCGATTTGCATCAGATTAAGTTGTGCAGTGTCAGTACAGCTCTTCAGTCCTTTTTACTTCTCATTGAGACTTAATGTTTTGGCCTGATGATCTAGGCTTTATCTTTGAACTGGAAACGGATAGAGTGGTTTCCAATTAATAATAATAATGTATATTCTCATATAAACATATAAATTTACATGAAAATGCATGCCATTTTTACAGGCACGATCAAGTATGATATAATATCAAATCGTAGACTGTCTACAAGTTAACAATGTTTCAACAGTTAAATATTTGATATATATATATATATAAATACACTCGTTCGACATTAAATTCCATACGTGATAAACCTTGAAGGGGAATAGGTTCACCATCCCATTTGCTTCTGATCTTTGAAAAGATGTCCTATCGCGGTTACCACGAGGGATACCGCAGTAGAATTCCGGAAATATATCTCGGATTGGGTGCAGTTGACCGTGTTCTATCTTGCATAATTTTAAAAAGTATTTTACAGATATCAGGGTGTCAATGTAGTTGAAGATTGAACGATCAATTTATGGTTGTTTGCTCAAACCCAACTTCCCTATATTTTCGCGGAGGCATCAATACGATAGTCATCGTCTCATCGGTCGCTGTTCAGAAAGAAGAGTAAAACACCGTCAGAAGTAATATTGTGATTTATTATTGTAATATTTGTTCATAGACCTTAGTTAAAGCTTAATTTTAAAGTTGGTTATATATTGGTGATACAATAAAGAATTCTCGAGTAGCCAATCGGTGTTTTGGTTCTGTGTCCGTTATAACTAAGCGTTTCTGAGAAACTTCAAGGAACAGCGTGAGTCTCGGCGTGGCAAGAGCTGGGCATTAACGGTTTACGAGAGGTGGCTGACACAGGGTCAGTATAAGAAGTAGTTATACGAGACAACTTTCGCGTGCGTCTCCAGAAAACTTAATAACTCCTTATTTTAGTCTTCAGTGATAGTCCAGACCTATTTCTGTTGATGAAATCATCCAGATGTCTGTATGTCATGCTGCTTCGTGACCCATTCACCACTCTAAAGTGCCCATGAAGTTAGATAAGAAGCGACATATCTTCTAGAACAAATTTCCTTCTGTTTGTGTATTCATCTACAGCGACTGCACAACTCTGTAAAGAAATTACTCCTTCACATATAAGTGCCTCCTACAAGCCTTTTATCCCTACAGTATTCAAATTCCACCCGCTCATGGAATTTATGTATAATTTATGAATCATATCTATATTCCTATCTATATTCTTCCATTTCCTTCAGAAGGATCGTAAAAGCTGTTGAAAGCTTTCCGAATACCTGCGTATGAGTACACTGCTATTGAAGAACGTAGTAAGACGATTATAACAATCTGAAATCTGAAAAATACTATGGATTCTGATGGGTGTAAAAATTTGGCAGCACAATGATTTAAGCAGTTCAACATAGTTGATTGATGTTATCCCGCCACCACTTTACAGTGCAGCGTTAAGAAAATTTTGAACAAATGAAGTATAACAAGGATCTGCTGATGTTCCACCCTGAAAATAATGCTGGAAAGTTTATTATTGATCCAAAAGATCATGCAGAAAAAATGACACATACTTCCCTTCAGTCAAAACCACACTTGGAGTAGAAAGCGTATCAGAGGTTCTGATTCTCCACACAGAAACGACAAAAAGAGACAATTTAGCTCAATAGACATCTGTACAGTGTAAACTCTGATGGAGTGAATAACTAACAAGTCTGTATATTTGGATAACTATGAGTTGTAACACAGCTGTTATCATATAACCTTTTTCATCTTGTTAGAAGAATATGAAGCATTGGTGGCACAGTGGTTAGGACTCTCGCCGACCATGCATATGGTCCGAGGTTCGAGCCCACGCCGACGAACAGCTGATATCTATGGTCGGCCTGCGAATTTTGGGCTACCGATATCAACGCTGAAAATTCCATACTTGTACCAAAAATACAGTGTGGAATCAAGCTGTAATCAAAAATAAATTAATTAATTAAAAGTAGTGCTATTGCGTATGTTTATTTCGTAAAATGTTGCCCTTGTTGTGGACTTGTTCAGGCAGGAGATCAATCTATATATGCCTGCGTCATTATCAGGAAAACTTACTGATTACTTTGAGACAGTCAACACAATCACGGCCGATAAAGTAAATTCGGACCTATATCTGTATGTGAAAAAAGTTCTTTATCTATTTCTTAAACTATGGTGGGTTTCTGCCACCGAGATGTACACAGTGGTTGGTTGTTAAATGGCTTGATAGTCTGACATGGAATTTACTTTCACTACAATTCACCTTGGCATACGCGAACATATAAGTTCATATGAAGTGCAATGAAGGGGGGTGGGTGGCGCATGCTGATTAGCAGACATGGTAGCAGTGATAAATATGAATTGATGCGATCGGTAGAACAGCAACATGCATTTCTTGACTGCTCGAGAATAAAACATGAATTTAGATCTTCACCATAAAAAAACAATAATGACTGCACAAATCTAAACTACGAATAAGTACTTTTGCTCCTAATATCAACAAGCCTGCTCAGCGTCCTTTCAACATGCTACCCCATGAGCCCTACAAAAGTTCGTGAGACATCTTAGAGGTTAGCATGTCCTACAGTTTCTAATCTTTCAAACCAGTTTCCTCCGAAATATCTATTATATTGTAATTTTTTGTAATAGTAGTATTGGTATTTCGAGATGACCGAATGGCTGGACTTATTCGTCACGTACTCTAGAAGTTACGTTTGGAATTTTTTTTGCCAATAATTTTTAATAAAATTGTATTATATGTTATCTAGATTGAGGGAAATTCCCACTTTTTGGCTGGTTATGTTGGTGTCCGCCTCATGTGATCTGACTGCGACACACTTTTAGCATATTGGTTGCAATGATTAGTGTTTCAGATGGAATGTATCAAAATGTCGGTGTAATGAGGGAGATAGGATAGTTAGAGGGTAATGCCATTTACACCACTCATTTACTCCATGTAGAAGCTGCATCTTTCGGCATAGTATCATTCAATGAAGACTTCGAAGTCTGCAATTTGCCCTAAGTCT